TCAGTTTTTACTATGTGATTATATGTGCGTGTGTGCAGTGTGTGAGATTGTGAAACTGAAGCTTCAGCTCTGCCTCTACTCAGTCCTGGCATTTGTCCCTCTGGATGAATTATTGGACCACATTAATCTTCATTAGCAGTAATAGTCAAAATGTGTTTTCATAGCTTCCTGCTGAGTCAATAGTTTCCACAGCAGCAGCTCAGTCAGACAGGGAGCAAATCTGTGTCATATCAAATCTGGTGAGTTCAGATGGCTTCCTTTTAGCCTCTCTGTGAACTCTGATAGCAGATGGGACACAAATCCTTCCACTTCAAAAACAAAAATACACAAGAAAACAAACAAAAAAGAACTGATACTTGACAGGAAGACATATACTTTATGCTCAGGTACAGGACATGATAAGGGGAAAATAATTGATACATACGTAAATAACTATAAAAACATAGTGAAGCATGTTTAGCATAGCAACATAGCATAGTCAGAGGCGAAAATGTGATAAAGTTAAACACATATCAAATTGGTTGCTTCATTGATGTACGATTACCTGAAGTGTATCTCTCAGTCTGACTGTTTCTGTCTCTCTTTTAAGGGATGTGTAACTCTGGTTTACTGTGTGATTAAACATTGTCACCAGAATTACCAATCCATGACACAAGTAACAAATATTTGTGTCATTGCTGATCTGAAATGTCATATGCTGTGTCCAATGCTGCATTCCAGTTTAATCAGAAGTTGGAATTTCTGAGCGCCCCCCTGAATTCGGATTTCCAACTCGGAAAGTCAGACGATCCTCACCAACCCTGAGTTGACGACGTCATAATCCAAGATGGCAGCGCAGTGCATCAACAGTAAAGAGTAACAGTGAAAGCGCCGGTAATGTATTACTTATTAGCACTTCAGTTTTGGTTTTGTGAAATTAAATAAGTGGTATATGTTTTACTGCCAAACGTCTAACTGTGGACATATAATGTTTGTAAGAGTAAAATACTGTGTTATGCGTTGTTTACAACTAACAATTGTAAACAACAGCTAACAATGGCTAACAGTAGCCGTCCATGTTGGTTTTCTGACTTGTTAACTGGAACGCCTTCAACTCAGGTGTAACGTCATTCCCAGCTCCAACATCTGACCCCCGTGGTAACTGGAAGTTGTGGTGCAGCCATGATGACTGCATAATGCTACAATGCTCTACTATCATACTATATTTTATATTATAGATATAAAGTTGTATATAGATTGTGTCTGTGTAACTGTTTAACTCTAAAGGCTTTGGGTGCTAGCTCTGCACCTTGCAATTCATTTTTTTTTGCTGTGTTAAATAGATTATGCTTAACCTTTACCTTTTTTGGTGACATTTTGCTGGACTTGAAATAAGTTGGCTGCTCTTAACTTAAATTTACAAAATGAGTTGCTTTGGAAAATGCCAAGTCTCTTATATATGCATCATCCTAAAAAGTATGTTATGCACCTACATAATGTGTTCAAATGTTAAGCTTTCTGGGCTATTCATACTTGTTCTCCAAATATGATCAAATGGAGAGTCACTTGATTGTCCCTGAAACTCTATATCGGGGGAAAAATGCTATATTTATTAATGGAGACAGAAGACCCAGAGATACACAATGGTGCTCAGATCCCTGTGGCTCTGCTGGAGATTTAACTGTGTTTTGCCACAAGCAAATGATTTAGCCTTAAGCCATCAGCCTTCAGCAATGATGAGCAGTTTGTTGCAATAATGCCTCATGACTTGTCTTATCAGATCCCTGACTCTGGCTCGAGTAACAACACATGATTTGGTTTTCAAGGTTATCAAGACAAAAAATAAAATAAAAAACTAACAATTTATTGTTTTTTCCACAGAAGAAAGAAATTTGTGATGAAGGTGAACAACGTAGGACTGGATTCTACTCAGTAACTCTTAACCAACCAAAGAGAGTACTCTGTTGTGCCCTCTGTTTGTCAGGTGATGGAAAAAACAAACCTCCTGTTCCTGTCAGTGAAATAGTCACCAATGATCATGCAGTGGCCAGTCTGTCTTTTTGGGCATTAAAATTTTTGCTGAAAGTCAGAAGAATCACAGTGAATAACATTAACCATGTAGAAACTGACTACAGCTGGGCTCTAATGCAAGGTGTTTTGCTGGCCCTCCAAGAAGAAGATGTTCTGGGATATGTCGGCATGCTGTACAAAATCATTTAGGGCCCTTTTACCAAAAAAGAGCTCAAGGCCATCACTGTGCTCCATCTGTGCTCAGCACATATCCTGATGACTGTTTCAGTTTCCTTTTCCAGGAAGACCAGTGATAAAGGCTTGAAGGAATTTGCCAATCATTGTGTGGCACATCTCATAAACAACAGTAATCTCAGTTCTGCAGAGATACTTTTGGACAAACGTGTTGGAAGTTTGTAACTAGGTTCTCCACTGAGTTAGTTATGAAAGCTAACTTCAACAAAACACAACAAACTAACTGCCTAGTGGAGAGTGTGTTTTTTTTCAATCACAAAGAACCAGATTCTACGGAAGGAACACTTCCTCCCCTTGAATTCAGAAGATGCACCTCTCTCTGCATGGATGAACACGTCTTTCAGTATGGCCTCGATCAGGAGCTGTTGAACAGACCATTGAAGAGGAAAGAAGAGCAGCTGGAGCACACTGAGGAACAGTGGGACAAACAGAGCGCAGGTGCTTTTTCAGTATACCTGTCTTGGTTTTTGTTTCAGCACCGCCAACAGTGCTACATCCATTATCCGTGCACACTGGTGTGGGGGTCAAAAAGGTTGAAATCCACTGTTGTATGTGTAATTGTAGGATAGCCTGCCATCAATAGTTTATTAACGTAGTGGGACATGAACAGGAAACTCGAGTCTCATAAATAACCAAATGTCAATGGAGTGCGTTATTAAAAACAGGTATGTCCACTATCACTCACAACACAAAGCACAAAAGTACATTTAGAATATAAAATGAGTCACTGATGTATCCTTGTAAATACAGCTTTTCATTTCAGGTCCTCATTGTGACTAATTCCAGTGTCTTGGGTTTATTTTTATGCTCCTGAAAAAAATACAAATTTGGAGACACACGTCTTTCATCGGACAGTGACGATATTAACCACCTGCTTTTCCACTTTCTTTCTCTCTAGAGATTGATGACTGCTCAGACACGGACACTGGAAGCCTGATGTGGAAAATGTAATGTATTCAAAGTCACATCTCCTCTGAGGGGTGAGGTCAAAGGTCGAGCTAGCCAGATGGAACTGAGTCTGATCTGATTTATATTAGGGCAGAAGAGTTTCCAAATAAATCTCCATCCCCTGCTGTTCTCCTGAACTAACATCTGATTAACATCATCCTGGACCTCCTCACACTCCTTTACCTTTTCTCTTCCTTTCTTTATCTTCATTCTGGAGTGAAAGAGAGGAGGGGAGCAGGGATGAGTAAGATACAAAAACTCTTTGGCTACTTTTTAAACTATCTGCCACAACTTGTTTCGAACTCCCAAAGGAGATCAAACTTTGGCAGAGATTAGAGGCGTTTCAGAGAAATCTGTAATTAAAGCCAAGTGATTGAACTTCATCAGTGTACTGTTTGGGATGAACTGAAGCGCATGACGTTAATTACAATGTGTTTGCAGGACGTGCTTTAGTTCTAGTTTCAAACTTTAACTGCAGGAGAAAGGGAGAGTACTACTGCAAGGTGGAGTTAATGGTAGAAGGAGAGCGAGGAAGAATATCCGTCAGAAAACTTAAATATTATACATTAATGCACATATAAACTTCCTTAGCTACAGATATTGTGCTAATAATAAAAGCTGAATCAGAGGCGGGAAGTAGCGACTGATGAGATGAATTGGCGTTCTTGTTGATTCATGTTTATAAGCAGCTTTCTTAGTGGGATTGACAGTGGACAGAAAAAAATTTAATCTTATGTACAAGTGGGGAAAGTTTCTGTATTTTTGTCTCTTGTAAATCTCCCAACTAGATTTTTTAAGAGCCTGTAAATCTTGTTGTAAGTTTGACCATGAACTAGAAAATAAAGCCACTCTTTAGTGAAGCTTATTTTAACAGTCAAGTCAGTAATATCAGTCTCAAAGTAATCAGTTTGATGAAAGACTAGGACTACTTACTGTTACAGGCTTAAACAGGATGGCAGGCCAAAGACAAACAGCAAAGCGTGTACTGCTTACTTAAAGCGTGCAACTTACATCTGCATCTGTTACAATTAGAGCAGTAATTAAGTACAGCTCTGATCATCAGAGGTCACCAGAAAGACCACTATGGCCAGGCAGCCGATACATAGTCTGTAATACGAACCATAATAACACTCCAGACATATTGCAGATGGCAAAAAGTGACATTTGCCAGGTTCATTTTACATATTTCTTGAGAAATTCCACTGCAATGACTGCGAATTTAGTTTTTCTTGCAGATTAACAATTACATTAAGTAGTTTGAATGGCTAGCTCAAGATCCTGATAGAACAGGCTGTGTTAACACACAAACATCAGTGAAGAAAGGCTTAATGCTCCCACTTGTTAACTCTCTTGTGGATGGTGGCAGACAAATACTTCTCCATGGAATTATAATAGCTTCCTTTAAAGACAGAGCAAATTCAAATTTCACATTTTACTTTGTTATACAACACTTTTCATACAAGAATGTAAGGTTGGTGTGAAGCTCCAGGGAGTGCATAAGTATAAGTAGCTTAAATAGTAGCGAAGGTTTCCGCCGGCTCGGACAAACCCAGGTCTTAAGCAGTGCAGCTGGTGCACTGGACAAATGCCACATCCATATCAAACTACCAGGAATGTGCATCGGGCAGATTATTTAAATTAAAAATTGTTTTATTCTGTCCAGCTGCAGGCCATCTGTGATGCCACAGGTAGATTCCTGGACATTCTTGTGGGCTAGCCAGGGTCTGTCCATGATTGTAGAGTGCTAAGAAACAGCCCCATTTATAGCCAGGCCCTGTATTCACCCTCTGGCTTCTACCTGTTGGCAGATGGTGGAAATCCCTGCTTGGAGAAGCCAATCAGTATTATCATCCCCCAACAAGCTGCCCCTCCATGTACGGGTCCAGGAGCAATTCAGCCGCCACCACTCCAGGGCTCGCTCGGTGGTGGAGCGAGCTTTCGGGGTGATGAAGACAAGATGGAGAGCCATGTTCTTCAAAGCCCTGGAGGTCAGCCCAGCTTTCGCCTCTGACATCGTTGCATGTTGTGCATTTCTCCACAACCTCTGCCTCACCACCAATGATGTTATAGAGTTGGAGGAACATGTGGTCTCTGACGGTGATCTTTAGGGTTCTCAGCGACACCCACCGGGAGAGCAGGAGCCAAGTGGGCATCACAAAAGGAACAGGATGGCTGAACAATTATTTTCCTCCCTTTTATCAGGTTTTAGTTTTTTGTTGTGATTGTGTTCCACCCTTCCAAAAACCCAAAGCACAAAGGAGGTGAAGAAGAAATGTTTGACTGCTTGAAAAATGGCAAAGATCATATGACCCGCTAACTTTGTCCATTTTTACACTCAGAGTTGACAACAACACACATGAACTTCATTAGGATAGGGCAGGTACTTACTCCCACGCTTTCTTTGTGGCGTTCATTTTCTTTGTAAAACGTGCATCATGTGCACTTCTGAGCCACACCAGCTGCATAATACAACTGCACAACATCAGATTAGTGGGTCTAAAAGGCAAAGGTCGGTGCACAGGTGAGCACTCAGATCAGGCAGAGGTTTCCAAAAACATGGGGCAAAAAAAGCAAGGTCCAAAAAAGGAGGGCAAGGATAATACATGGCTTGACTATGACTGTGAAGACTGCTGGTACGAGGACTGTAAGTGCAACGAACTGGCAATGAGACAGTGAGACACATGAGGTTAAATACAAGAGGTAACAAGGGTGATGGGGAGCAGGTGGGGAGACACAATCAGGATGTAGGTGTGACAAGACGGGAGCAAGGCTGACCAGACAGGAGCAAACCTAGGAAACAGAGACAAGGGTTAGCGCTTTCAAAATAAAACAGGAAAGACATGACATGTAATGTGAAACCTGAATATGCAAAAAGTAAAGGAAACTCAAAATAAATACACAGGAATAAAAGGAAAACAAATGGGCAAGAAACACTGTGACATGATGTTATTGAGCTTGACAGGGTTGACGCTACTCCTGGCTAGGTTGGAAAATTAGCACATCGCTGGTATTCATGATAAGCTAAATTATCTACTACAAATGTTTTGTTTTACTTTTAAAATAAGTGAAAAGACCATAAAATATGGCGCAAATCCTTTTGGTCGCTTTAGTTGTTCAGTTTAAGTCAACAGAGTCTTTGTTCTTTGCTTGAAAAATGTCAGCTGAGCAGTGTAGTCTTTGGAAATATCTACTCAAGTTTTGTATCACTCTGGTGTAAGAAACGGTTTAGGCCTTGATTGACTTTTGCACTACTAATAGTTTAACAATCAGTGTCTACCTCTACTCCAACAGAGTGATGAGAGCCAGAGCGCAGCAAGCCCTCCCACTCAAACTCCACTCAATGTCCACTCTGCCCAACTGACTTAATGAGAGAGCCATCCAACTTAAGCAGGTGGCAGAGTGTGTGTTTGTGACACTGTATCTTTGCAGTCTAATGTGTGTATTCATGGCTCTCTGGCTCTCTTCCCAGCAAAACAAAATCGAGCCCGGACATTAGCACAGTCTCTGGGGGGTGGAGGAGAGCAGGGCTCCACTTATCTGCTGGCACAAAGATGGATAAAAGGATAAACAGGTGCCAGAGGAGTGCTAACTGCTGGGTGATGCAAACACACAAATCACATTAAACTCTTCATAAAGCCGACATAACTCACATGAATCCACTAAGAGAAGCTGGAAATACTTACAAAAGCACTGTCATCTGGAAAATGGCAGAGGAGTTCAACATGTAAAATTGATATTTAAATGTGATTGAAGATGGATTAAAAAAGCAAAAAGAGTGGGATGTTAGACAGCAAAATAAACGTGTAAGCTGCTGGCGCTGCTTCTCTTTGTGTTTCCAAGGATAGCTGGCAAGTTTGTTGATGGGGAAACCGAGGATGATGGCGCAAAGTTAGAAAGCAGTCAGAGAATAATGGAGGCGGTGCCATTTGACAGAATTGCTGTAAGCTCACTGCAGGCCAGTGTCAAAACCAGGGTATAAATAATTGAAAAGAAATGGAGAAAGAGACAGAGAGCAAACAGAAATCAGGAAGGACAAGGCCCTGGTCAGGTTTTCCCTGTTTCTTTTTTGAGATTATTTGTCTATTCAATAGCTTAGATTAAAATTTGATTACCTGTGTATCTGACCCGAGTGACATCCAGCCCAAGATCAACTCCATCTCCTGCCTGTTATTCCCTCTTGACCTCCTGTCTCCTTTATGACTTTGCCACCTTTCAAGGGATTGATTTTACTTTTTTATGACAGTCAGAATAGGACTTTTAGGTCTCAAACCAGCAGCTGTGTGTGTGTGTGTGTGTGTGTGTGTGTGTGTGTGTGTGTGTGTGTGTGTGTGTGTGTGTGAATGTAAAGACTGACAGAAAAAGAAACAGATCTTTAAGACTGAATAATTGAGACTCTCATGTAATATTCCTTTGGTTTTATCATTATTTTTTTTTCAGGGTCAGGTAACTAACCCCCAAAATACTGAAGAAATGGATAACATCCCAAACAGAGAGGACTCAGACTAACAGCTCGCTGCTTATCGTTGTAGATTTATGAGTTTCTTCATCTTAAAGCTCCCATGATATTTACTATATTTAATACTTTCTTTTAACTTTTGGGAAAAGAAACGTGGTACTCTAAACTAGAAAGAAATTGCCATGAAGCAGGATTCAAATAGGCAAAAGGTTTAAAAGAACAAGCAGAGGTCAGCACACAGTAAGTCAGTCAGCAAAGGTATCCAAAAAAAGGGATCAGGCGAAAAGACAAGGTCAAAAAACAAGCAAGGATCTATACACAACATGACTATGACTATGAATGCTGGAACAAAGACTGAAGAGTGTGATGAACTGGCAACAAGACAGTGAGACACATTAGGTTAAATACAAGAGGTAAAAAGGGTGATGGGAAACAGGTGGAGAGACACAATCAGGATGCAGGTGTGACAAGACAGGGGCAGGACAGACTAGACAGGAACAAACCGAGGAAACAGAGACAAGGGTGACTCTACTCAACTTTATTTGTAAAGCACTTTAAACAACCACAGCTGAACAAAGAGCAGAACATAAATAGACAAAACAACACAGACATAAAAAAAACAATCAAAAAACAATTAAGTGGTTAGTGGACTTCAAAGTAAAAGACATGAAAGACATGGCATGGCACAAAACAAAGCATGGATGTGCCAACATGAAGGAAACTTAATCAACATAGAGATACTGACATTAAAAAAAAAATATCCAACATGACAGAAATGCTGACTTCCAAAACTTCTAAAATCACCAATTTGCCTCTATGTCCTCTGCTTATGAAACTGAACTGAACTAAGTCTGTAGTCTACCTTTTTTCATTGTGTTGTAATGATTCCCCTTAGATGTATTCTTTTTTTAAATTGAAACACTCATAAATATTCAGTTATAACAACAGATGAAAGTCAAAGAAGCATTTTAAGATAGTTTTCCATTGACATTTGGTTTTGAAACATATATACACACTTACAGTACGGGCCAAAAGTTTGGACACACCTTCTCATCCAATGCATTTTCTTTATTCCCATTAGTATTTAAATTGTAGATTCTTAGTGAAGACATCAAAACTATGAATGAACACATTTATATTTTAGATTCCTCAAAGTAGCCACCCTTTGCTTTTTTGATAGCGCTGCAAACTTTATATTTTAGATTCCTCAAAGTAGCCACCCTTTGCTTTTTTGATAGCGCTGCAAACTTTTGCTGTTTGCTCAATAAGCTTCACCTGAAATGGTTTTTACTTCACAGGTGTGCCTTGTCAGGGTTACTTTGTCTTCAGTTATTTCACACTTTTTTATAAATTCCACATGTGTTCATTCATAGTTTTGATGCCTTCAGTGATAATCTACAATGTAAATAGTCATATAAAAAAATAAAGAAAAGACATTGAATGAGAAGGTGTGTCCAAACTTTTGCCCTGTACTGTATCTCTCTCTCTCTCTCTCTCTCTCCATATATATATATATATATATATATATATATATATATATATATATATATATATATATATATATATATATATATATATATATATATATATATATATATATATATATTGTGTGAATCTAATTGGTATTTTTTTGCACTCAGTAGTTGGTATGTGAAGGTTATGTGGAAGGAGAGTAAATATGCCAGCTGTCTTTTCTGAATGTCAAATCCACAAATAAAACTTCAGTGCCATGATGCCTGTCTGCATGAGGACTATTCAGAAAGCGGTAAGAACAGTTTAAAACAGTGAATCTGACTTTTAAGTAGTATTTCACAGAGCCACTTTACATTTGTGAGACTACTATTAATAGATGTCGGTTCAGAGTCTGCTAAGTCTCAAAAAATAATTGCTTTTGGAAACCTTGTCAAACAGAGCTTCATTAATTGTGGAGATAAAGAAAACAGAAATGATGGAAAAAGCTGAAGCAACACAAAAGTGTTATGGAGAAAATAAACATTGTTGTAATGAGGGAAACTCAACACCCAGCCAAAAATGAATGGGAGAGCTGATTATCAGCATCACCAAAGGAAATGAAGATTCATGCAAATTCATGTTTGTACCCAAACCAACAAGCTGCAGTGACAGATCTTCTCAACTTTCTTACTTTCACTGAACAGCTTCTGAGCCTTCTGAGCTTTTGGATTTCATTTAGGTGAGCTAACAAGTTCTCTCTCCTCCCAAAGCAGCTCTCTATACCAAGACAACAACCCTGACTAATAAAGTTCACACAGGTCTGAGGGAGGCCAAGCTTCTACATGCAAGGCCTCCGTGTCTATGCAGGCATCTGTCAGGGCAGACATAGATCTCTATGTGAATGTATGTTTGTGTGCACCATAGCGTACTGTAGATTCCCAAAGCAATCAGCATCAGAGGGGAGAAGAGTAAACAGACAGCAGCTGTGGTGCAGCTCAGGGCTCAGGCTGTTGAGCGTTCAGTCCAGCACTGATTGACGATTAAGAAAGACTGTAGTGTCCAGAGGAAAGTCCTTCATCCTTGGGTTTATCATGGAAATAGAGATCTTACACAATGAATATTGCAGGATGTGCTGAGAGTTATATGCCGACTACAATCCAAATAGTCCTATTTACCAGAATTTTTAAGTGCAGGCAAAGC